CTACAATCAAATCCAAAGCCTATCATCGGGCGGATGCTCTTGGGGAAAAGTATGTTTGCAAAAATCATTGCATGCCGAACGATAATTGTTAGCTCAACGCTACGGTTCCAGGCAGAATGATCAGTTTGTATGTGCAGCATCAATTAAAGTACGTGTCCATTTTAGTGAAATTGTTCAACATGTATTCCTTGTTTTAAATATATTCACTACCTAAAGTGCCAAAGGTGTTTGAACACAGAACTCAAGTGAAATGACTGATTTATTATACGTGTTATCCACTAGAGTGCATTGCTTTAAACTGACAATCATTAAAATACTCTTCTTTCTCCCCTGTCTACCAAAACTCTTTCTACTACCATCTTTCTTTGCTGTTGTCCTGGGAAAGGAAGCGCGAACTTTACATTTTCTTCTGAAAGCACCAAGATCTGTGCTTATTTTAATATCCCATGGAAGTGAGTTCCCCAATGCTGGTTCAGCTGTTGAGAATGCTGGCTCTCATGAATTTCACCCTTGTGATTGACAGTTCAGTAGTTCCACTGAGGGCTTTGAAGATTCGGACGGAGACTTTGAATCTGACCTGGTATTCTGTGAGGAGGCTGTGTAATGAGCTAGTGACGTGCTCTTGGTGGGCTGTGTTGCTGAGATGTGCAGACACATTGTGGACCATATTGGGCATCTTTTAAGACCGTCATTTTCATTCCTAGATACAATGATCTACCGTAATGCAGCAGACTGACATGGTCAGAAGGAGGTGCAGTCCCCTGGCCACCAAAATTTAGCAGTGGACTTGGTTACTCATGCTATTTCTGTTGCTGAAAGGAGTGAAAATTCATTCTTACTCTGTCACTGGAAGGTCAATGTCCGGAAGAGGGACACTGTCTCTCAAGAAGGTCTCTGGTAGAGTGACCAGATGTCCCAATTTTATAGGGACAAGATTTTTGGGTCTTTTCCTTATATAGGCTCCTATTACCCCCACCCCCGTCCCGATTTTTCACACTTGCTGTCTGGTCACCCTAGTCTCTGGTAAAGAGAACAATATGAATCCCATTATTCTGTTCTCTTTGAATCCTATGACTCATGTGCCACATAACAGCTCCCTGCATTTCTGAGGCTGGAATGGTTGAGCTTGAAGAATTCATGGAATGTTCAGCTGTTCTTAACTCACAGCCCTTTGAAGAGCTGCTTTCTTTTCTCTCCTGTCCTTTTTTCTGTCTCTGCTAATTGTGCTACACTGAATCAAAGGAGTAAACCCTCCATCCCATATTTCTATTTATAATCACAAGCTCTTATTTGTGGCCAGCTGGGCTGGTGAACCTCTACTCTTTTAATTGGTCAAGTCATTTCATTTTGAAGCCCTCTAGAATATGTATGGTGAGAACAATAAGAGAAAAAGGCAGATGAACACAATTAAAATCATGTGCGAAGGAACAGTCATTGATGGTTATTTTTAATGCAGTAATTTTAATGGTCTCCCATTTCCTGCTATGGAAATGTGAAACTAATTAAATCTATGACATTTTTTAACTTGAGCAATAAAAAGTCCCTCATGTCAACAGAATTCTTTCCTAAGTAAGTGCCTTCCTGAAGGGGGGGAGAAAACCCCTTAAATGAAATCATAAAATAAGTTGGCCGTAGCCTTTCTAGATTCTGATAAAGATATTGCTGACATTGAAGACTAAGGCGTCTCCAGTAACAGGAATGTTTCAGCTACACAATATTTGGGAGTTGGGTTGGAAAATAATAACTCACCACATGATCTGGGATTTGGTAGCGAGATAGG